AGACGGCATTCCTCAATGGAAATTTGTATGAAAATGGTTACATGGCACAACCCAAAGGTTTTGTCGTGGAAGAAAAAGAACGTATGGGATGCCGCCTGTAGAAATCCTTTTATGGGTTAAAATAAGTCTCTAGACAGTAGTATTTGAAGTTGATGAAACGATAAGAAAGTTTAGATTTAAAGAAAATAAGAAGGACAATAGCGTTTATGCGAAGTTCAAGAATGAAAAATTCTTTGTCCACATCCTGTGTATAGATGACATCCTACTCACTAGTAGTAATGTTAATCTACCTCATTGGTTCTAGAAATTGAAATTCATCGAGATAGATGAAAATAGTTATTAGGACTATTGCAAAGGCATACTTAGAAAAGATTCTAAAGAAATAAAATATGCATGCGAGTAAACCTATGTCTGCTCCTATAGTCAAGTGTAATAGATTTAAGAACTTTTCAGTGTTCTAGAAACTGATATGAGATTAATCAAATGAACATGGTTCCATATGCTTCAGCTGTTGGAAGCTTAATGAATGTACAGTAAGAACTTACCTTGACGTAGCTTACGTATCCGGGGTATTTTGACAGAAGTCCAATCCAAATATAGATCACCGAAATGGAGTTAAGAATGTATTGCAATTTTTGCAAAGTATCATAGGTCTCATGCTAAGTAAGAAAGAACAAGTACTCTCGAATAGTTATTGGTACAAATGTTAAGTTTTGGCGAGATGTGTAGTGAAATCCACAGTAATTGCTAACACTCGCAGTTGGAGTATTATTATGGAAAAGCTCCAATAAAACAGTTGTGGTGTCATCAATGATGCATACTATAGTATAGCTTGTCATGAGGCCTTAGGAATAGGCAAAAGTGGTTAAGGGAATATGTACCCGGATTTAACAATGGTAATCAACAACGATAACCAATTAAAGTGGTTAACTCCTAAGACAATAGGTCAAGTGTAATGCCAAACACATTGACATTAAGGTATATGTTGTAAAGGAGAAAATCCAGAATTATTTTAAAAGCATTGAGCATATAAGTACCAAGCAAATACTTGCGGATCCATTTACCAAAGGCTAACCACCCAGTGTGTTCAGAGAACGTACAGTCGACTTGGGTTTACGAAAAAACCTATGATTTCTAGATACTAAGGGCCTAGTTGAGAATCTGTTTTAAAATAGAGAGGTGCATTCTAGCTGTTTAATCTAATGGCAATTGACCGTGACGATGAGGCACGCTCTATGCACCGATCTGCGATGAAATGGGAAAAAGATAAAGTAAATTAAGTTTAAGTTATAAGGTGAGATCAAGGGAGAGAATGTTAGATTAATCTCCACCAGTTGGCCCAACGGCCAATTAGGCCCTTGATCTGTGCCCTGATCGGGGCGTCCAGCCATTCTCCTGGTTGATGGCCCCCGTCGCGCAGCGCTATAAAGAGGAAGGTGGGGGCCGGGGCGCAAGGTACGAGATTCACCGTAGCCGTCAGCGACCCACTGAGGTTCCTAGTCCTAGTCTGATCTAGAAGGGCGCGCTGTAAGCGACGAGAAGTCCACACCGCCTTCACCGTCGCCACTGGTCCGCGCCTACGCTGCTGCTACCGTCGACAACCTAGCAGACGCCTGCACGGCTTCCCCTACACCAACACGTCGTGGCCACCTTGTTGGCAGCGCTACGACCGCGACTACACTCAACGAGGTACATTACTACATTCAATTCACCAATCAAACCAGCGCGTCCAAGTTCATATTCTCTACGTGTCCGCCTCATCCCGGCCAGATGCATGTTCATACATCACTAAATAATGTCCCGTCCTAAGTAGAGCTGTTAAAGTTTGACACGTACGTACTAAGGCGAGTTTTTACACGCCGATCGATACCTGTCGTCATGATCCTGAATTTTTTTTTCATGGCGCGTCGCTACCTTAAAACTTGTACTGTAGTGGCCTTTGACATGAACGCAAAGGTACACACATGATCACATCCTTTTTTTTCAACAGTGATGCATGCAAGAGACAAGGGCGTACGTCTTAATCAAATATATATCAACATCTCAGTGGTTGCACCACCCAAACCCAATAAACACACTAGGATGCAGGTGCTTAGCCTGATATACACACCCAAGTTCAGTTTTCGAAAACTTTTCCGAGGGAAAATTAAGATCGATGACGAGGAAGAAGAGACTATTTGAAGACATCAGCTAGGCTGCAGATCGAGTATTGTACACACAAGAGCAAGTTGAGATGAACAAATTACATACAAGTCAAGAAGGGACAACAACATCTTGATCAAGATGGAGTGTCTCAAAGATATTCCCGGCCTATTAACTCAGAGTTGGGTGCAACCACAGCTTATACTTGAGGTTTACTTTATCTCCGAGAGATGACTGAGTGACTAGCGTGATTGATCTACACTGGAAACATGTCTACTAATTAATAGAATTTTTTAAGAAAAGGAAAGGATAATAATTATTATTAACATTGGCTGCTGACTGATAGTCTTTCTAGAAAGAAACGTACGGTTCATTTGAAGATAGAAATGCATGCATCAAGCTGACTTAAGCTCCAGATTTGATCATGTAAACTTTGTCCGTCCAGTCATCTCAATCATGATGAATACACCAGTTTTTCAGAGGATAATTTAAAGAACATGCTGATCTCCATCTACCTGAGCTGAATCCTTGGAATAATTTCAACGGTACATGATCTCACCGTATTTAAATTCGAAACACTTTGAGTTAGTTCCTGCAGATATTTGTCAACAACAGTCGACAATGTTAACTAGCCACTTTCAACTAAGTTAATAATGATGCTGACCTTGCTGAGTTAACCTAGCAAGCTGGCCCTTTAACCGGCGGGCTGCCTACTGTCAACGGCGGAAGAGGCAAGCAAGCTAAGCCATTGCACGCTGCCTTTAGAATTGCTGATGTACAGGACGGTGAAGTCTACTATCTTTCTAATTTTCTCCAGGGAAAGAATTTTCAGTTCAGAGGCAGCCACAACTTTTTCAAAAAAAAAATGATTCTATCTCTGTCAGACGATGACGACGACCTATCAGTGTCGTATGGCATGTCCATGTCAGGGATTAGGTGCAGAATTGAACACTCCGTTCGTATCAGCAAACTGAATTGCGTTTGCGTCCGTCCGCAGAGAATAGTTTTGAGAGATCATATCTGAACATCACCAGGAAATTAAAACACATTTTACGGGCTCTCCGGAGATTGACGAATGGGTCCTTACCTAGAGCAGCCGAAAACGATGGGGTCTCTTGGAAACTATGAATGCATTGTGCATAGTACCGTACCACGCAGCTGCAGCTTGTGTGGCACATGTTTGAATCTTATATAGAAGAAAGGGTGTGTTTAACAAGGATCAGGATTATTTTAGCTCTAGGCTGCAATTGCATTGATTGATTGATTGATTGAAGTCGCATGACACTTGTTTGTTATTAATTATCAAGTATAATCTCCCTTTTAATTTGTACAGTACTAGTTGTACACAACTTGTACGTGCTTTCTGATTTGAAAACTTTTGGTTTCTGATAGAGCCTTTCATAAATCAAATCATAGGGCCATCCAGCGAATCCAGGTTTTCCTTCTTGCTGCAGCAGATCGATCATAATACCGTGCCGTTTGAACTTGGAACACCTGCTAGCTGTGTCATGCTATGCCAAAAGGCATCCTGTCAGATTTCATCGGCGTCGTCCTGGACCGTGTTCTGTCAGGTTTGACCGAGACCGGGTAATCCGGCAGCTTATGAAGCAAACAAAATTGAGAAAAAAACACACGCGCTCATGACCTCACACATCTTCTAAGATCACGTAAGCCGCCGCTTGTCGATCCGATCCGACGGGGTTCCACCAGCGTTGAGCGTCGTTTAGGTTGCCTTGTTTGACGATTCATTCATGATTCATGCTGCTGACAGCCACATACAAGAGATCAAATGAGCCCTAGTCGTCGTCTTCAAAACACAGACCCAGTTGATGTCAAGCCGCGAGAAATCGGAACGAGCAAAACATCTCGGAAGAAAAGCATGTCCCCTCGGCTTCGATCGCAATGCGTGTCGCCAGCATCCTTCTCCTTTAACGATCGATGCTCCCCAAAAGACAGGATCGGCCGGGAAAAGGCTTCTGGGGCGTAGAAAGCAGAGACGCTTTGCGTCCGGTTTCACATCACGTCGCTGTAGCCGTCCGGAGCTCTTCGGCGACGGAAGGGAGGACGAATCGGCGCCAACCACCACCGGTTCGCGTCACGGGTAGACCGTAGACGCAGAAGAGTACACTGCTGCTCTGCACGAACAATGGCCACACGAAACGAGAGAGGAAGATCGCGAGGTCTTCCTGCTTAGCTTGCGTTGTCAGGAAGATTCGCGTAGGAGGAGGAGACGAGCAAGATAAAGATACGCATCCATGCCGTATTGCCGTGGGAATTCAGCGGTGTCCCCTAAAAGGAGAGTAGAAGGTGTCGTTCAGATAGATTGAAAAGAGACCGATCTGTTTCTCGCTAAAGCAGAATGCTTTTATATTTCTGCTGCGACTAGCCCGTGTGGTCTAGCTAGTTCTTCCCTGCTGCCCGGCCCGGCACCCCCGCCACGTGCAGCAGGTGTCGCCGGTTTTTCCAACGCATCATACGCACGCAAATTAACTAGCCGGAAACTTGCGCCGGAATACCCTCCAGAAATCTTCACAAGTCAACGCATCATATATGCACTTTGTGTTCATCAGCATGACGTGCACATGATGCGTGTGTCACACTTGGCACGTATTTGTACGTGTATCTCGCTCCCTAGCAATATATATACGGCCATGTTCTGCATTAGCATTACCTGCGCGTATTTCTTTCCACGGTCCACACACGTACCGGGCCAGGCCTTTTATGCAGCAGAGAGTTGTGGGCCCAAATCTTTGTTTCGGGCCTTTTCGGGTTGCATTCCATTTTTTTTTCCATTATCATTTCTAGTAATTGCATGTTAAATCAAAGTTTATATATGAAGAAAAATACTGTATTGCTGTCTATGAGGATCCGGCGAGGTTTCTTTGGATCCTGTGCACGTCCTGGCCGTTGATCTTGAACGCTTTCTTGAGCACCTCCTCCGGCACCCGCGGCTCCGTCCGGAACGCCGAGAAGGGCACGAGCTGCGCGCCAGGGCTCTGGCTGTTGAGCCCCGACATCACCACGGCGGGCGCCGCCACGTCTATGTTGTACAGGAAGTGCACCATCCCGCGCGGGAACACGAACGCCTCCCCGGCGCGCAGCAGCTGCGTGTACAGCCGGTACGACGTGTCCGCGAACCCCACCAGGACGCTGCCGGCCAGCACCAGCGCCACCTCCGACGCGCGCGGGTGGGTGTGCGGCGGCGCCAGACCGCCCGGGGCCAGGTCGGTGCGCGCCATGACGAGACCCTGCGCGTTCGCGCCGGGGAGAGACGACGCGGGGTTCGTCACCGTCACGTTGAAGCCGAACGGTGCCGTGGCGGCGGACGGGTGCTCCGTCGTCGCCCGCGACGACAGCGCCGAGGTGGCGAAGTGCTCCGCCCGAGCTGACGCCGGGTCGATGCAGGCCAGGCCGTTGAGGTGGAACTGGGACGGCGGAGAGGACGCCGTGTCGGCGACGCAGTAGTCCAGGAGGAGGTCGGGGTCGGACCTGCAGACGGCGGCGAAGAGGAAGAGGGAGAGGATTCGGTGGCTGATACCGATGTGGCCACCATCAGCTGCGGTCGCGTATTAATAGTACTCCTACAGTAGCACCACAGATGAAGTGTAGTTGGCCCTCGTTTAGTTTGGTGAAATTTTTTAGACACGCGAGTTATTTAAGCTCACGCTTTGAAACTGTTAATTAATTTTATTTTTTATTTATATTTAATGTATGAAGAATTTTGTAAAATTTTGAAACTAAACAGTCACTCGATGACACGCGAGAATACAAGCTCACGCTTTGAAGTTACTATTTGTATGAGTGACAGAGGGGTAATGTCTAGTGGTCTACATTGCCTTCAAGAACGTGCCTGTTGGTGTAGCACGCTCCGAGTGAAGCGCGATTTAACAAGCAGCATCACGTATTCACATCCCCGCTATACCCTCGGCAAGCCTGGGCAAACCACGATCCATTGAGAATAAACTGGCAAAAAACGGGCAACAGCCCCTAAGTCCTATCCCATATGGCAACTGACAAGCAGGTTAAACATATCATGTTGTGATAAATCTGATGTTACAGCAGCCTCCGGGGCGATGCTTACAAGGGCGATACATTTGTTTGGTCGTCAAGAAAGAGGCAGCCAAACACCGTGTTGAAAAAATCACGGCCTCTGATGGTATCCTGGCTTCCTACCAGAGCTTGCGTGTCATATTTGCACGCCCTCCCGCAGTCTGGACAATATGTCACCTGCATCCCATTTCAGGACAGGTCTGGTTAGAATTAGAATACATGTTAGGTAGCTATACTGTAGGCAGCACCACATCAAGCTTTTAGATATCCACACTCACTTATGTTCAGACACAGAAAAATAAGTAGCAAAAGCAAAACCGAAATGCAAACTGGAAGATTGTAGTTTTTGCTTTCTATATAAGCAGGGTTTTCCTCCGTAAAAAAAAAAAAAAATTGGAAGATTGCAGTTAATGATGGAGCAGAACGGCTCCTATGTTACAGCCTTATCGTGACTTGTATTTTCTATCTGGTCTGGACTCGTCTGTCCTTGGACACTCTTACACTCTCATGATTACAATAGTGTGGCTAACAAATCCAACTGACAAAGTACGAGTTACTACAAGTAGTACTATCCAGCCTGTTCGCTTGCTCGTATCTGGCTTATAAGCCATGGCTTATCAGCCAACGAACAGTATTTTTCTCTCACACCAAACCAGCCAACGATACTTTCAGCCATGGCTTATAAGCCAAACCAGCCCAAACGAACAGGGCTGCAAGCTGCATCCACACATTTGTATGTAGTTTCATACTTTGTAGAGCACAAAATGAGAATACCTAAAAGCTTTTCTCTGCTCCAGCGGAGCAAACACTTGTTATAGCCGATGTGCATAAAGACATAAGCTCAAGCAGGTTTATAACAATATTGGAGAGATAACAAGCTACAATTAGGATGTGTTTGGTTTGTGGAATAGAATTAGTTGATCCATCACCACTTCATTCCTCACAAGCTAATAATTAGTACTAGTACGAGAAATAAGGGTCATTCCACTAAATTTAGGGGCTGTTTGGTTCACAGCGTTAGCCTACCCCAACTTGCTTGGGACTGAAAGGCTATGTTGTTGTTGTTGTTGTTTGGTTCGCAGCGTGGCCTGGGGGTGCTCGCCCAGGCAGGTCCATCCAACCACCAAGCGCTCAAGTCAAAATCGACGGCCTGGGGAGCTTCCTGGCCCAGGCACCTGCGCCAGGGTCAGAACCAAACAGCCCCTTAAGGAATGAACTCATGATGCATCACCTCAATCTAGAATGGGATGATTCCCCAAACCAAACACCCCATTACAAGACAGTACTGTAAGTCCTTGATACATACCTCTAGAATCTTTGGTTTGAATCTGTTATCAAGCATAACATCTACACCATACATGGCCCTGGAGAATGGGTTCTGCATCTCAGGATGAACAGCTGCGGCTGACTCAAATACACAGCGTATCGTAGACCATATGCTTTCATGGATGTCCAGCCATTTAACTACAAGTTAAAAGTAAAAAAATAGTAATGTACAACTAAGAAGTCACATAGAAGAGAGAATGCAGGATGTTACAACCTTGGTGCTCCTTCTCAAACTCCTTGACGAACTCTGGTGTATTCATATGTTTCATCCTTCCAATATAATTCTGGATCAGCAGAAACAGTCAGGTAACTAGTTAAATGTAATATGACAACCGATCACAATATAAGCATAAGCTAGGAGATATGGGCAGACTTAGCAGAATCGCGCAAAGCATACAAGAGAATGCGGCATTAATAAATCTTCAACAGCAACTAATAATTAGATGTTATCCCATAGAAGTGAGAATGAGTTGCATCTCACCATCACAGTGAAATGGGTCTCATACTCAAAAAAGCTAGTCTTCTCCAAAGTGTACTGATTGTTTGCTAACCTAACCTAGAATAGAAAAAACAAATACAAGAGTTGTCAAACAAAGAGTGATAATGGCCAAAGGGATTTATCAAGTATCATCAGAATTTCAGAATTTCAGGTCATACCCAGAAAACATCAGATAGAAATATTTCCAAAGGGCGGATACTACGGACCAAAACAATGTACCGAAGATCAAACTTCCTTCCTTGGAAAAGTGCAGGGCGCTCAATATATTTTTGGCATATCTTGGGGCCTGTCTCCATAAGTCTGATGATAGCAGACAAATCACCAGTAACTGTGGTATCGATTGTTCTCGCCATGTTCCAAGGCTTCATGATCCATAAATTGTCCATGCCATCTCGTTTCCTCACAAAATAATTACCAATGAGTGGAGACAAATGGGTCTCTAGGTTATATGTAGGTTGAAGCCATTCAGGTGAGCCCCAAGCCTGCATGAGTTTGATCTTAGTTTCAAATGCCACCAATGTTGATGTTGTCGAACTCAACGCATTCTACATTCAGTACGCCACACAAGGTCCCCTAACCACACAAAAAAAGAGAAACTAACCTTGTGGATGGTCTCCGCAAGGTGGTGCTTCATGACAAGGCAAGCCTCAAAAGGAAATTGATTTGTGTATTGTTGGTCTGTGAGCCCTACAGCTTTCTTTACTTCTGAATCCACTTGCATGCTTACCCAGATAATGTCAGCCTCCTTTGGATCAGTTGCTGCAGGTATACAGAACAGGTGTGAAAGAGTTCCCTTTGATGCATACATTTGCAGAAATAATGGAAGATACCCAACTAAATTCCACTAATTGATAAGGTTCTAGGAATGTATTAAAGGAAACAAACTGATAAGATGGCATCACAACAGTTTCATACTAAAGTGAATACTACAAAAACTATATATCACATAATTTTGATTTGGTTCACTGGCAAGCATTACAAGATAGGTTGACAATACTGTAAGTCACAAATCACAAGGGTGCACAAGAAAAATAACAGAATACTTTAATGAGTCGTTGGATAAAATAATAATACCAAACATGCAAAGAATTTTGAAGGTTCAGATGATCCAGATAAATGAATATTCTTTGTTGAAGACAAGCTAACCATTGCTTTTCAAGTAACAAGTACTGATGGTAAGGAGAAAAGGCGCAAAAAGAAGAGGAAAAGGACTGCAAGCATTGGTTGAAAACTTGTGTGAACGATAACTAGAATCCTTCAAGCGAAAGGGAAGACAAATCATAAGACAGGATTGAATGTTGCTTACTGAGAACAAACTCTGGCCGTGTTAAAAACTCCTCTACATGAGGTATGTCAGTATATACTCGAAGTGCACGACCATCGCTTGGACGTATACTTTTGGTAGAGGGTGTCTCTTCTATTTTTGTCGAAGAACAAATGCTATTTGATTGAAGTTGTTCCTGGTACTTCCTGAATTCCTATAAAGTAGAAGAAAGATATATATGGAGTTGTGATAAGGTTATTCGCGCAGCCTCCAGTACCAAAAGAAGCATCTTTGTGTACAAAATAGGCGCAGAAGCAAAATTGCCTGAATAAAGTAGTTCTCAGGTGTGCGGAACCAAGCTGTAAGCCTAGCCGAACGCTGTTTGTCCTCGCCAATACCAAACAAGAAATCACGGGTACACTCTTCTCCAGTATGAACATCATGAGTGGGCCACAGAATTGTGTAACTGAAAATATTGGATATTAGCAAACTATAGTGTTAATAAGTTATAGGAAATGTATATCAAGGGTCAATGCCTTATAGCAGTGTCTAGTTTCCCTTCTGGCATGAACAAGAATGGAGCTATTCTGAAGTTTGCATTATCACTGTGGCACATGGCTGAGCCCAACTCGTCCATGACATACCTGCATAAATAACCAAGCATCATGAAAACAGTATGGACTGACAAAATATCCTCTGCTCGGAGTCCAGGCATTCTGTTTACAACGAGGCAAAGGTAAATCGAGATAATCGGATAATCTAACTCTAGGTAACGGGTCATAATGGTGTGCAATGATCTTTTGACCAAACTTTTGCGAAGATCCACCTAGTTACTAGCGAGTCAGTAATGCTTTCAAAAAAGTTATAAGAAAAGAATGGAAACCAAGGCATACCAAACAGGTGTTTCATCAATCTTTTCCTCATCAGCAAGCCGGTATGTCATAAGATACAACCACATTGCACCAATAACTCTTTCAGCAAGGGGTTCTTCAGGCGACCATTCTGGAAGCCGCGGTTCAAGTGCAGAGTCAACTATATGCTTCCCACTCTCTATTATACTTGAGGAATCCACACCATTTAGCAAAGATAAATTAGGGAGAGACTCAAGGATGGAGATTGCGCTGTTTCCCAGAGGGCCAGGAATGTCAACCTGTGAAATGAGTTTGCTAGGTAAAATTTGATTACAGTGATCCTTGTCAAGAATCTAGACAAAAAACGAGAAAAAACACAATAGGCCACTGAATAAGTGCATGTAACACAATACGCCACTTGTCATGAAGCTGACATGCTGTCTTGGGCATGTCAGTGAGACATCAAAGCTGTATTGTAGGCATATGAACCTATTCAGTGGAATATAGGGGGATTTCTTGAAAAAGGATACATGAAGATATGTCAAAAGAAGATATGTAAGCTGTATCATAGTACCTCCAACTCTTGTAACTGAGTGAATCCACCAAATAGCTTTAAGAGATCATCGCCAGAAATTTGATCCAGAGGATTACCACGGATGTTCAATTTTGACAGAGATGGCAAATTACTAGGAGAGAATACCTAGGGGTTTAAACACCAAAGAGAGGGAAATTGTCAGTACAAGTGTTGAGAAGTGCATCATGTCATTCGTAGAAGATCAATTGGGGTCATTAGATACCTCGGGGAGCTTGTGAATGCATCTATCAGAAAGGTCAATAATCTCAATACTCCCTAACAGTGTGCTTTCCACAGAAGAACAGGGATTATCTGCTCCAACAATGTCTGCACAAAAACCTAATGCCCACTCTCCAGCTTTACTCGTAAAATGTGAATTGTATATTTCCAATCCAGAGAGACCATCTAGAACAGCTTTGTCAATACTAGCAAGACCAACAGGACAACAAGAATGTCAGATCATGATAACATAGGCTATTAAAAGACTCTACTGCCTGAAAATACACATGACAATAAAATTCTATATGCCTGATTCCTTGCTCCTTAAGCCTGTTCGGCAGGGATCCAGTTCAAGAAATCTTGGATCTCAAGCTAGAGGTGCATCAAGAGCATATGGATGAATCACTTTGTTTGCAGATTGTACTAAATACAAATATTTAAACCACTTTAATTCAATCTACAAACTACAGATCCAACCTAGATCTTGGAGCTGAAGCTGTGCCAAACGGGCCTTAATCAGGGAATTGCTGTTCCCTTTCATGGCATTGCTGTTACCAGACATGTATTGTAACCAAATGTAGCAGTAGACTCTGTTATTTAGACAAATTAAGTTTCCATGACCTAAACTTCATGCATGCATAACCACTCTTCTGTTGTAGCTAGGATTGTTGATACCATAAAGGCTCAAAATGAATGGATGGCAAAGAGCTGGCAAGTGTTCTACTACTTTTCTGTCCCAAATCCGCTTTTGGCACCTCAAATCCATCCATATATTAAATCAATTATTTGAACAGCCACAAAACACAACATTTCGGGCCTAGAATTTGTATGAATGAATGCTATGATTAATGCACCTTGAAGTATTTCATGAAGATAAATTACTTCCCAGCTTCCATCAATGTAATGTTAGGTTTTTCAACTTGAGTTCTCTAACTCTTTGGCCCTCAAATTGCCATTGAAGTATGCACGGAAGACAAGTTGCTTGGGACTGAAAGGCCATGTTGTTGTTGTTGTTGGCCCTTGAATTGCCATGGAAGTATGCACTGAAGATTTTTTTTTTTTTGTGTGTGTGAACAGCACTGAAGAATTTGTTAAACAACCTAAGAAAAAAAAAATTAGTCTCACCTTTTGCCAAGAACAGGATTCTCGTTCAACCAAAGTGCCTTTAGCTTTGCACACTTCCTGATTTCTTGCATAACTTTCTCTGGATCCTGCAGCTTGTTTCCCCATAGGTTCAGAGCTACCAGATTCTAGTCAGATACAACAGGGAATAGTTAAGATAAATTGAAGACCAAGGACAAAGTGTCAAAAACAGTTGTTCTGAGTTCTGACAACTAGCATAAAACGTTATAAAAAATACTTTATTGAAGTCACCACTAGTAACATTAAGTATTAGACAAAACGCTAAAATTCACAGGTGGCCAAAGGGCGCCTAGCTCAAACGGTTAGGTGACCCAGCTGCACTCCTCAGGTCCTGGGTTCGACTCCCCGTGGGAACGGATTTTAGGCTGAGGTTAAAAAAATCCCCTCGCCCGTCCCCAAGTGCCAAAGCGCAGTGGAAGGCTCAGGCCCGGTTCTCACAGGGTTACGGCACCTCCTGCGTCAGGATGGGGGCGGGGGTTCGGGGGTTTTCTCGATCTGTGTGAGAAGATCTTCTTCTTAAAGGGAAAACCCGGGGGCCGTCATAACCCCCCGCAGGTCGAGTTTTTTAAAATTCACAGGTGAAATCTTTTATTTTCATGGGGAACGTGAGAACAAGCACATAACCATTTTTCCTGACTGTATATTATAAATGAGCAAAATGGAGAACCTGTACATTGGAAAGAATCAGACTGTTCTTTTTTCTAGAAAAAGAGAATCAGACCGGAAATTTTGCACATAGATCCAAGGCTACTAGCATGTCATCATCAATTCCAAGTTCTTCAAGTTCCAGCCATGCTACAGAATCACTTCCCCTCTCCTGAACTCTAGCCCTTTCTTTGTCGACTACTTGCAATACATGCTCCAAGCTCCCACTCTCGTCACCATCCTGCTCATCTGCCTCTTCGGTTTCAATCCTGCGGTCCAAATCCACACACATCAATGCTACCATCCTTTCAGCCAATCCTGGTACTTCCCGCAACTGCAGAATTACCAAAACGCATGCATAAGATCACCCGTAATAACATGACAAAATCCTGTAAGTGGACACTGACAATTCTTCCTTGCTGACCGCTGACCATGCATAGATAATAACAGAGGAGTTGAAGAAGGCACTGATTGTTGTATGGTTAAACAAGTAGTGTGATGACAATTATGTCCATCTTAGCTAGAACAGCTTAAGGTATCTGAAATTCTACCCGCCACTTAATGGATTGTACTAATTACAATATAGAATGACCAATTATCCACACTTCAGCACATAGAATTCCTAATCGTTCTAATTAGCCAAAAAATGAAATGGAACGTACTAAATGACTATTGATTCCACTGGAAGAAGCAGATGATTAAACTGAATGAATTCATTGCAATCTTCAAATTCGGAGTAGTAATTATTCAGGCACGCGTCACAAACACGTATAAGCCATACTGACCCCAAACATCGCTCCTCAACAAACTAGCTGAACTCACTCCAAGCACCACGCGCACAGGCCACTCACCTGCTTGAGCGCATCAGGGAGGCGGAAGGACCACGCGTGGTCGACGAGGAAGACATCGGACTCCTTTCCCAGAGACTCATCGGCGGAGAGCACGAGGCGCCGCTACCTCCGGTCCTCGCACGGCTCGACTGCAAAGACCTCCCCGCCGTCGAAGACCTCGTCCGCGAGCTTCCGGTACAGCTTCTGGTGCAGCGACAGCGGGATGCCGGCCGCGGCCAGCAGGTACGCCGTACGCGTGCACCCGCGCGAAGTCTTCGTAGGTTCGGATGCGGTCGTTGGGTGAGGCAGAGGCAGCCGCAGGTGACATGGCTATAGCACCCCCGGCAATCGGCGGCGGCGGGTGAGGGCGTGGGGAGAAGAAGGGTTTAGAGACCTCCAGAAAACAGAGTGAAGTGGAGAAGGGCGAGAAGCGAGCCTGCTTTTCCGCTTTAGGATTCGCGCTGAAGTAATATGCTTCGGACGATTCGTTTCGGGGGGTATTTTTTTTTTCCGTTTTTGAAAGGCTTCAGAGCTCAGACGATTTTCTCGCTCAAGGCTGGACAGTTGCTGTGGCCGCCTTTGTGGCTGTCTGGTTGGTGGTCGTCGACTCGTCATCGTGTTTCCGATTCTTACATGTTTTTTCACTCCACTGTCATTTGTTTCTCACATATTTTTAAATATAAAACCAAGAAAACATGTTTCTTATATTTAAACCAAGAAAACATGTTTCCTTAGTATACAAGTGCAAAGGACCATCCACCCGCACGACCACGTGACGGATCCCGATCGGTATACAACGGCACTGCTATAGGTCTACTGGCCTATTTTCGGTGGATGTCGGTGTTTTGCCAACTGAGGGTGCCCTCGACTAGCTATTCTGAACAGATAAAAAAAAAAGTATACGGCCTGTTCGACTTACTCTTTATTTAGTTTGTTCGGTTTTTTTTAGCCAGAATAATATTTTTCTCTCACAACAACTCAGGTAGAACAGTGTTTTTTAGCCAGTTTCAGCCAAAATTCTACCAGCCGAACAGGGCCTATGTGAAAGAGTAGTCACTGGTGACGAACAAATAGAGTCACTGACGACGAATAAATAGATAATCTATTTCACATAGTCTAAAATTTTAAGAAAGAAACATGTGGATTTAATAGTACGTAGAAAAATAAGAATGTATAAAATAGTTTTTGAGTAAGCTGCCTACGTAGGTAGTACCGTTGCGGACGGACTGAGAGACGCATCGGATCTTTCCAGTTCAATTGGTTCAACCGTGGATTGTTATTTCTGTTTGCAATGTCGAGACAGACAGCAAGTGCGATTCACCATCTTCCTTGCCCCATCCTTTCTTAATGTTACGGATTTGTAGCTATTCACTCTTACCACCAGTCTCGTTTCCTGATTGTCCTCCCTCATATGGTTGGCAGTGTGGCGTACTTGACTATGTGTAAATAAATATTTGTGTTTTTAGATATGAATAAAAATATATTTTCTTATTATAAAATTAGTACACTTTGAGGGAGGTGGCCAGATCATGCGCGACCGGTCGGTTCTAGCGATTCGTGTCCGTTCTCCAGTTTTTTTTTCTTTTATAAACTCCGCTAGTTCTTTTTGTTTTTTTGAGGGGACGTTCTCCAGTGATCCAGTGATTTTTTTCACTTTGTCACGGTCCTACTGTCCAGTACGATCAGTCTCTTTCTTCCATCGTCTTCATCTTTCACTCATATCTTCCAATACAAGTTTCTTTTTCTTTGCCTTTTTCTTTTTAGGCGAGGACAACCCAAGTTCTCGATTGTGTTGTACTGATAATTTGCCCGCTAAACGGTGGAGCATACTGACTTCACTAATTATGCATGTTAACTTCACTAATAAAGATCAATATCCTCCAAATAAATTTATTAAAAAACGAGATTCAAAGATCTTTTCAATTATAATAATTGTGTACCATAAATATTAATATATTTTAATATATATTTAGTCAAAATTGTTTCTCAGAAAGCGAAAACGATAGATATTTAGGAACAGAGGGAGTACTATAAGTAATCGTTTTCTTTTTCTTGAAATAAATTAGAAGTCAGTACAGTTACTATTTTTACGACAGTGCTAGCGGACGTCCGTGTTCGGATGCTCGTGCGTCGCACTCCCTTTCGCGCTCTCCACACGGGCCCACGTCGCCTGAGCGACAAGAGGAGGAGGGGTGCGACGCCTCCGATTCGGAAGGACCCAACCGCGGCGGCGTATGGATGCCCTGCCACCGCCGGGAGGACACACCGAGACGAGCAGCAGAAGGTGGGAAGAGAGATGCAACACCGGATCTACTTTTGAAATATTCAAATACAACAGTTAAAATACTTCAAAAAAACACCTGAAAACACTTGAAAACCATTACAACCATACGCAACATCTAAATAACAACACATGCAATGTATGTATGAAACATATGCAACATCTAGATAAATACACTTGCAACATGCGTCGGGAAAACACAGATGACCTTTGAAACATGTGAAACATTCGAAACATACGCTTGCAACATGCCTCTGAAATACTTGTAACATCCCCGATCTACTTTTGCAACATCCATATGAAACAATTGCAACATACAAATGAAATGCCTGAAACACTTGAAACATACATATTATTGGTGTTTTCGGACCACCGACGAGTAAATTTGTATTTACGCGTCTGGCTCGGATGGTGTGCTCGGAGGACATAAGGGTTTATACTGGTTCGGACGAAACGTCACTACGTCCAGTTCGCTGCTGCTCGTGTTACCGACACTTGGTTTGCAGTATGGGTTACAAACAGGCGAGAGAGGGAAATGATCCCAAGTCTCTGATGAAAGGATTGAACGGGTGCTGAGAGCTCGATTGCCGCTCAGCTGTGTGCTCGTGTCGTGCTCTTTGAAAGGGACTTTGACGCCTAAGAGGAGGGTGAATTAGGCAACTTAAAAGTCTAACTCTAAACTATGTCATCTTTTTTTAATCTTAGTAAAACCTATGAAAAAAGATAAAATATCTAAATATGCAAAAAGAGTTATGCAAACAATGTAAATGCGGAAGCTAAAGAGTAAGGTAGAGATATGCAAACTCCCATCGACGACTCCGGTATTTTTATCGAGGTATCAAGAAACACGCAAGCTTCTCCCTAGTCCTCGTTGGAGCCCTTCGCAAGAGTTAAGCTTCCGGTCGGGTAACTCCGTGGATAGCCCTAGGCTTTCCCCACACGCAAGTGGATCTCCGGTGTGTCTTCTAGCAAGCCTCTCCCGGACCGCTCCCCGCTATCTTTACTATCAAGCTTTCGGTCGAACCACTGCGGACCTTGTTTCCTCTTGGTAAACGGTGGCGGCCACACCATAAACTTGATTGGTGTGATCTCGCAAGACTACAAGCCCCTCCGATGTACAAGAATGATGCACGCAAGCACCGAGTGATCAGAGGTATGCAAACCTCACTAAACACTAGGCCTAAACCTAGAGCAAACGCATAAACGATGGTCTAATCAACTTAAGCACTTCGTAAAGTACATACGCTAATCACCTAATAAATCACTAAGCACTATATAAGTGGAGATCACTAAAATGGTGTATTAACACCATTGATATGTTTCCTCAGCTCCACTCTACTCAAATGGACGGTTGGGGGTCTATTTATAAGCCCCACTGAAAAAGTAGCCGTTGGGGGTGAAACCCAGCTTTCTGCTACTGACCGGACGCGATTATCGTCCTGACCGGACGCGTCTGGTCGCCCTGACCGTTGAGCGCGTGCGCTGATCGAATTCTGGGCTGAGTCCGGACATCATCGACCGGACACGTCCAGTTACGCTGGCACCGCTCTGGAACCTCTCTAGAAACGATCGGACGCTGCACTTTGTGCGTTGGTCGCCGTCGAAGGTCTGCTCGCGTCGGGTCACGCTTTGAAAACATTACCGTGAAAGGAATAAAGGTCACCGGTGCGTCCGATCCATCGCTTCGCTCAACGTCTCAGTCACTTCTTTGCTTTCGTCGTCCGGTCACAATCTTCTGATGCTGGTGTTGCCGAAAGAATCGATCGGACTCGTCCGGTCCTTATTAGGGCCGCGTCCGGTCACCTCTGTTGAACTCGTTTCTTCGCGATCTTGCGTCCGACTTAGTTCCCATCTTTATGCTTGGACTTTGCTTGATATCTTGGATCTTCTCTTGTGCTTCTAGGGTCTTGCTTATGGTGTTGATCATGGGATCATCATGTCGCCTTCGTCCAAGTCACGTCTTGCACCCTATTAAACTACAAAACAATTATTTGTAAATTTATTAGTCCAATTTGGTTGTGTTGGTCATCAAACACCAAAATCCAAAGTAAATAGCCATAGGGTCCATTTTTCTTACAATCTCCCCATTTTTGGTGATTGATGACAACACGACCAAAATAAGCAAATAATAAAAATTTTAGAATTTAAAAACTATTTACTTGCTAAGATGTAATTACAAAAGGCAAGGCTATATGATGCTAAAAGATACCACATGTAAACATCTTTGGAAACTTATCTTGCCCTTACAAATGTTCCATGTGGCATTATAGATTTTAAGCCCCCTAACTCCATAATCCACTATCCTCTCTTTCTCGGATCATTACTACTTATAAATTATTATCATTACCACTTATAAATTATTATGATCGGACTTGCTTTTCATCCTATAAATTCTCCCCTTTAGAATCAAACACCAAAAAGAAAAATATTAGTAGTACAAAGGAGGGTCAAACTTTGTGATCCTTTGTATATAGAGTGGAATAGGTCATAAAATTTAACTCTCACATTACATAGACTAAGCTCCCCCTAAATATATACATACATATAATAAAGAATGTAGTTTATGCATAATTGACAAATTAATACTCAAGGGAGTTTAATCTATATAACAGATGGAGAAAGCATATAAATACCAAAGTGAAATCAATATGATGATATCGGTTTAGAAATACCACATGTGAAAACCAATTTGATTTATACCACTTGCAATAGGTGATGGATATTTGAAGTATGATGCTTAACTTTGGGGACTCCATTTTTCTTGCAATGAGACTACTGCACACATGATAAGCTTAAAAATGTGTTATTCTCAAAGCATCTAACTCGTAGAGTAACCTCTCCTAAAATTTGTGCACACAAGTATAAAATACTTGTAGGAGACATACACATTGATTTTAGAATAAAAAATACCACTTGAAAGATGACATCGCATGAATATGAGAATCATTTTCGAAAGTAATATTCAGAAAAATTATCTATAATTTGGACTTTGACACATATGAGATGAACAATTATAAAACAAACTGTGTCATGCTCCTAAACAATTT